TATTGATTACAGCAAGTGAAAAGGTATTGGCTTAGGCATTGGATTACGTCAGTTGACTCCACCCACTCGGAGAGGGGTGAGCCTGAAAGGGAGGTTTATTCACCAGTAGGTGGAGCCTGTTGATGCTAATCCAACTATAAGCTCTCCCCTGATGTCACCGAGGGTCGTGCCATGGCCCCCCGCCACGGAGGCATCAGACAGAATAAACGACCACCGGATTCCTTTAACGGAATACCCAAAAATTGAAGGCATAGGCAATGGCCACACCTAGCCCTTCCACACACCACAACACTTTATTCCAATGCCTAACCTACCCACCAATACCACGAAAGTTGTGACGATTGCTACGAGGTAGGCGAAAAAACCACAAAGCCTAATGCCAAATGGAAAAATTCCTACCAGGCCCCCCGGACAACCAGGGCGACCAACCTAAGGTCCATAGCAAGGCCAAAAAGAAAACTGAGACCCTGAGCTCTAAGGGAGTGGAGGGTGGGTGACTCGCGGTGGGACGACGAAGAATGAGGCCGCATGGCTGGCACAGCAGCGATTTACGCTGCCGTCCACGCCCCCTTGAAGGCACCTGGTTGGGTGTCTGCCCGTGGGCGTGGTGCCAGCCAGGTGAGTGGGAGGCAGGGGGCTAACGCCCCCTGCTTTAGGCGGGGACCAGCTCCCGCCCACAACCACTCCCCTCTTTTGCAGGAGGAGAGACTTTATTGTGGCTTTTGTTGAAATAAGCATGTGTAGAGAAGGCTGTAGTTGCATAGCCCAATTCTATGCATGTTTACTCAAAAGGAAGTCTGACTGCATTCCAGGAGGATTGCAGCCTTGGGACTCAACACTGAATTAAATGCACCAGAGTGCACAAGTTCTCTGTACTATGCATTCTTCTATTTGGGGATGAGAATTCAATCCCACAAATATCCCGTCTGCAATAGGCATGAGCTGCTGCATATCCTTACTTTTCCTTGTAGTTTAGCATGCCTGATTCAGCTTAGAAAAGCACAACAGATGTTTTGATCCCACCAGATTCATCACCAAGAAGCTAAAAGATTCAGGGCACAGGTCTGTGGCACATATTTGCATATCATGATTTATATTTATAGAAACAGATGTAAGTCTCAGAGCATGGTAAAATACTAAGTGGGGTCTCACCAGCACTGCATTTCGCAGCAAACCCAACCACCCTGTAAGTCATGGATGGGGAACCTGGGCTCTCCAATACCCAGCCTAAGCCATCATGGTCAATAGGCAGAAATAATTGAAGCTGAAATCTAGTAACATCTGCAGGGCCACAGATTATGAATCCCTGCTGTCACCCAAGATTTAAATAAAGTTTTTTAAAAGGAGGTAAAGGATATCTGGGACCCAGTACCAGAGACCTGGGTCTCAGGCCATTCCCTAACAATATCCCTGGACCCCATATAGTCAACTGAATTCATGTACAAATTGTCAAAAATAATGAGCCACCAGAATACACTTCTATTAACAACAACAACAACAATTTTATTTATATGCTGCCCATCTGACTGGGTTGCCCCGGTCACTTTGGGCTGCTCCCAACAAAATATTAAAACCACAGTAACACATAAATCATTAAAAACTTCCCTGAACAGGGCTGCCTTCAGATGCCTTCTAAAAGTCCAATAGTTGTTTATTTGATTGGAGGGCATTCCACAGGGCAAACGCCACTACTGAGAAGGCCCTCTACCTGGTTCCCTGTAGTTTCAATTCTCACAGTGATTTAACTGCCAGAAGGCCCTCAGAGCTGAACCTCAGTGTCCAAGCTAGATGATGGAGGTGGAGATGCTCTTTCAAGTACATAGGGCCGAGGCCATTTAGATTACATATATCATATAATCTAGATTTTAATTATGAACACTTGGATTCCCCCCCCCCATATTTTCCTAAATATGAAAGGTACCGATTATTTATTTCTTTTCAATATACCATGCCAAACTGCATTGGTAACTTTCTTCACCTCACAGAGGCTTTACTAAGGGAAACATGTGGAAATGCAGGTTGATAAAAGGGGCTGACAAGGAATAATGGGTTTGATTTACTGAACATACAGCGAGATGCATTTGTTTTGGTATAGGAATCTCATAAAAATTATTAGCTGTGTAAGGCAAAAATAAGCCAATTTAAATACCGCAGATGCCAAAATCTGTCATGTAGCACATTTTTTCCTGCAGTACATTAGAAGAGATTTGCAGGGAACTAACAAAATAGTATTAGTATTCTTCAACACACAAAAGGCTGGTTTAGGGAAGACTTGAAGAATTAATGACCAGATATGGTGATGCATATTAACTGCTCAAGAAGCCCTAATATGTTATATTAGAAACAGAAATAGAACAAACCACTTTGAGTATAAAATATGAACTGACCCTAACAGTGCTATTATTTCAAGGGAGGAAAAACGAATTCTAGTTAAAACAGGCTTACAAAATTCTATTTGGGCAGCCACTCATGAAATACCATTTTTAGTTATTTTATCTACCGAATATAATGTTTGTTTTCCCCCGTCTTGGTGGCAAAGGTGCTGAATATATTTTGTGCTTGGGCTGGTCTTTTTAAAGATGAATTCACAAACTTGCATGCTGGTAGACTGCACACATCGTGCACAATATGGGAAAAGAAATTATCATTCTGTGCTAAAATTTATGTCAAGCTGGCAAGTAAAAGAAACATTATTGTGCCATTTTCTCTAGTCACAGAATTTTGAAAGTGCTAGCTTTAGATGGGATAAAGAATGGGATAAAGTGATTGCAACACTCTGATGGAGTGATAGATGTGGATGGGTTAATCTGTCAATTTCAGTTTCTCTCGCTTTCCTTTCCCCCCAATGTTAAGTACATTTCCACATGAGTTTGCATTTTTTTTTAAATAAAAAAGGTCCTCATGAAAATTCATCAGCATTTTCATGCAAATTTTGCCCAATATACACATTGTTCCTAGCAGTTCCCTGCAGTATATCACATTTTTCTTGCAATATGTTGCATTTTTCTATCTTATTTTTGCCAGTATATATTTATATGCACACATTCCCTTAATACATGCATTTTGTACACATTTTGTTGGCCAGAGAACTGAATTGCAAAGTTCGGAGAAGTGAGAATTCCGAAGGAGAGCTGCGTTTTGGTTCGTGTATTGTTTCAGGACATTTGAATTAGGTACGTTTGCACTAAAATGTGAGCAAAACTGACTTTCTTTCCCTTACATAATAACAGATAGCACATCATCCCTCTTTGCATTGTGGGCATAGAGAAACATCTCAGTGGTAGTGCCTCAAGGAGGAATGAGAGACCCACCATTGCTCTACTAGAGCTCTGTCAATGGGCAGCTGACCACTACCACTCCCAAAATGAAAAGGCAAGCATGCATGTTGTCAGAGGCAGAAGTCACCTATGTTTCCAGCTGCTCACTACTTACTTCTGGAATGCTCTACCTGCTCACTCACCCTCTCTCTCTTTGGGCAGTGAGCTGGGGAGGACTGGGCAAGGAAATACCACTTGGAGTAAGAGAAGAGAAGCTTCAGTGTAGCTTGCGGGGAGACACAGGGGCAGTTTCTCTGGGTGCAAAATTGTTAGGGGCACAAAATTGCACCGCTTGGTTATTTTCTGAATGTTGAGCTGTTTCTAAATTTGTTCATAAATAAATAAGAAAAACACGGCCCTCTCTTCATGGTGTCCAAAGCCACTTTCAGATAAATTGTAAAGCTTAGCTCTATTATGGAAGACCAATGGGTGAACTTTTGTAATTTGAGTATGGCAAGAGAAGCAGTAACTCTGTGGTCTAAATTCTGTGCTTTAGGAAGGCGTGAGTGGTCCTGTGTGACAGTATCTATAAAATATCTGAAACTCTGCCATAAGCAAACAATCTTGGGGTTTTCAATCAGACCTGACAAAGATACAAGCCTTTTTCAATTCTTTTTTAAGCCAGCATCTACTAAGGTGCCAAGAAGATGGCTAATGGTAAATGTTTGATAGCAGCATTAGCTAGGATAGAATCACCAGATACAATCAAAAGGATACACTATTTAATCTGCAGTGCAGGGAATCTCTTGCTACCAAGGCTAAGGAATTCTAAGAACTGGATCTTATATTCTAGTTACCTTAACTAGAAAATGTCACATCATTTGCGAATATGATAAGCAAGAATACATTCAGAAAGGACAAAAGCAACACAGGTAGTATGCCTTTCATCACGTTCCTGGAAAGACTTGCACCAATGCTGCAAAGGGATCAGCAGTAGTTTGTTCTATTTTCTTGGAAACAAGATGGTCTGTGGGTGATAAGTGCAAAAGCAGGTTGATATGAGCAGCAGCTTAGTCCTGAACGCTAAAATCTCTATAAAAGTGAAAGCTGGTCTACAGAGATAGCAGCCAAAATGTCATGTTTCAGCAAATGGCATTCTGGGAGGGTGGTAAAGGGGGTTAACTAGAGGCTCCTGGAAATGTTATTACCACAGAGAAGGCCCACTATTAAGAGGGAGCTAACTCAGTGATGATATCCTTTTTTCATGCTGTACAAGCTACAGGAGCACTAGTTAGAAGTCATTTCTGTTTATAACTAAGATATCTCTAAGGTGCAGTAATCATGACATTTCAAACGTTTGCCCTACATGTTTCCTTATTCTTGTGGTGAGCCACTTCTACATGGCAAAATTTCCCTAATATCTCTTGCCATGTGGATTACCTATAGAAATTATCTTCCACTGGTTCTAAATGTTGCTGTAATCAGTGGTATGAAAGTCTCTGCGTAATCAGAGAAAATTGTAGGCAGGGCCAATAATAGGGAAATGACTTCTCATGGTTAAAGGTAACATGTAGATCAATGCTCAGGTATCACTTACTATAGGAAGGTTCTGTATCGTCCCAAAACATCATCGCTGCATAGCAACTGGGGCAGACCAATATGGTTCAGGTTGAATCATTTCAGTTCAAAACCGGTTCATTTCTGGCAACCTGGGCTGGCCTGTCCATGAGACATACTGAGGCAGGACTTCCGGGTTAGCGCCATCGGCGAATGGCGGAGTTCCTCCGACCGGAGGAACTGGCTCCGTGGAAACTGGGTCTTCCCGCCGCGGCGAAGGTGGGGACCCGCTAGAAATCCCAGGCGGAGGAAGCCTGGGAACGTGGGGTTCGGCAGGGCACCAGGAGCGCCTCCCCTACTCACAGGGAACCCCATTTCGGGGTTCCGGAGTGAAGTGGGGTGAGCGGTGCGGTGCTGCGAACTGATTGCTACTTTCACGGAGTGAAGCCGCACAGCCATTGCCGGAGAGCGCTGACTTTTTCCTGTGGACAATTGCATTTAAAACAAGTACCCATGAGTAGAAACGGAAAATTGGATTAAGAAATACCCTAATTTGGCACTGAAGCGGGAAGGTTCAAACAGGAAGTCCGCCTTCCGCTTTTTGTACATAGGCTGAAGCAAAAACCTTTTAAGCTAAAGTCTGGAAAGTCGTTAAAAAAGTCTAAATTTCCTTCATTTATAACCACTAAAACCCCCTTGGAAGCAGGAGAAAAGGGGGGGGGATCTTTGTTTAAGCCTGCAGGAGAGGGAGTGAAGAAAGATAAGTTTCCACCGTCTCAAACCTGGGAACGGGGGGTCAGAGACAGAAATTGTTGGAGAGGTTCACTGACTGTGAATGGAATACTTTGACAGATAGCTAAAGAAGAGAAATAAACTGATTCCAATGTTGCCTTTTGCATTCTAAAGAAACAAAATATCTGAAATATGAAAGTAATTTTCCTTTGTTGGACTTGCCTTAAAAAGATGGATACAAATAGAAATTGTCTCCTCTAGAGGGAGCTTGTTAAATTGTTGCTGCAGTCTACTTGAGGACTCTACAGCTGTGAGATTAAGATCGTGGGACCAGTCCTTTGACCTCGAATAAAAATGAGCTGGGAGGAAGTTTTGGTGCTTGCTTTATGCAAGACAAGTGCTTTGTTGGAACAGATGCATGAGAAGATGGATCTGATGAATGAGAAAACGGATTTGATGACTGTTGTGGTCAATAACTGTGGACAAACAGGGAATATTGATACAGAAACCATTCAGGGACCAACTCAGGAACCTGTATTGATTGGGCAAGTGCAGAAGATAATGGAGGAGGTTGCGGTTGCACCTCAAATAATACAAATGGAGAGACCCGAGGCCCTGCAGGAGCATAAGCCGCTGTTTTTGAAGATTGAAGTTGGAGTGGGCCAGGGGGAGTCTGGAGCTGAGGAGGTTCTTAACTTCGGAGGGACTTTGAAATATGCTCTTAAATATTTTTTGGATTACATTGATGACTGTGGGGAGTGGGACTGTGGGGAATGGGCTGGTTTGATGAAGGGAGATGGAGATAATCTTGGGCTGGAACCTCCCAGAGACCTACTCCTCAATGAGAAAGGAAAGAAATTAAGAAAGAGACCAACAAAGACAAGGAAAAGTGCAGGTATAAACAAGAAGAAGAAGATCTGCAGAAGGGACATGGAAGAGACTTAAGAGCCTCGGACATAAGATTACCAGGTTGATGGACTAGATGGAATGGACAGTAAGGACTGACATGACCCGAGACCAGGAAGAAGAGACGCTGGATGAAGATTGGAAGAAAATTTATAAAGAAAATTTTTTATTTAGGGAATTAGCCTAAAATTAATGAATATTAGGGAAAATGTTGGAATGAAACTATATGGCTTTAGTAGAAATGATATAAGGAGTTATGTATAATTGAGTATTAAGTTTCAAGCTCTAAGGTATTTTACGGTAAGATAAGGTTAAATAAATTAAGGTAATTTGAATAACAGAATATGGGGAAAGATGGAAAGGATTTGTTGAGTTAATTAATAGGTTAAATTGTTAAGATAAATTATTCAATAAAAATTGAGAAAGATGGAAAGAATTTGCTGAAAATAACTAATTAAACTAGAATACAAAAAGGGAGGTGTGAGGAGGTCAATGAAACAAGCAAATGGAAGTTAAAGATATGTAACATGGATTTGTGTCTTTTTTAAAAATCTTTTTGCTGTATTGTTGTATTGGTTTTTATGCTTTGTTTTTTTCCTTCTTTTTTATGTATTGTAGTGTTGTTTCCTATTTTTTCTTTTTTTCTGTAATTCTGAAACTTTTAATAAATATTATTTTAAAGAGAGAGAGAGAGAGAGACATACTGAGACAGCTGCCTGAAGAGGCAGAATCCAAGGGGTGCTTCTATGGGTGCCCACCACCACAGGAGGAGAAGCTTTGGTGCCGTCTGGGTTCTGGCAAAATTTCTAATTAGGAAATTTCTCTGAATGTTTACCTAAAATCTTATTGCATGTCATTTTCACCTATCAGTTCTGACCCCTCTTTTTTGGGGGGGGGTAATGTGCTTCAGCTTCTCTGTTACAGTGTTTCCATTATAGTTAGCCTTCTTTCCCAGGTTCAACACACTTCTTCCAACTGTTACTTATTATACTTGGTTTCCAGACCCTTCAGCATCCTGGTCTGCACATACTCTAATTAGTCAGTGACCTTCTTAAAACATGGCACTCAGAACTGGCAACTCCAAGCATGCCTGGCTGAATGCTTGCGAGAAATATTTGAGTGAAAGCAACCAGGCTTGCAGCTTACTATGAGCAGGGTGTGCAGAACTATGTTTATCCTGAACCTGCAAATTTCTAGTGCTACCACATCTCATTTCTCTGCCTAAAGGTTGAAAAAAACCCACCTTAATTGCAGTCAGGTGAAGGGAAAGACAGAAATGGTGGCAACTGCAGGCGCTCTGCATCCCAGTGGAATGTTGTTGTTTCTCCTGCCTACAAGTCCCAATATATCCAGTGGGAAAGTGTGTCAAGTGGGGCACAGAGTAGCAGTTTCCAACCAATGATATCAAGAGCTGTAGTGGGAAAAGACAACTGGGAGGGGGCACTTGCCACAGGTACCCCCTCTGCCTTTCACTTTCATCTGCCTGCAGGCAGGGAAAGAAGGGGGGGCTGAGGCACCTATAGATGCTTCTCAACCACCTTACAGGGGTTCTTGCATGCATTCACTTGCAGCATGCACAAAGCCCCGACCCCTTTCTGGTTAAACAAAGGAGTGTTAGTGAATTTCTTCCTATTTACATCATCCCCACCAGCACCACCACTCCATTTGCAAAGATGAAGGATGCTTCCAGGTGACCCTTTGTTTCAGCAATCATCCTGATTAGTTTGCAGGGAGGCTAGATGATGCTGTGCCAAAGCAAGTGGTGCCCCACACTTTCCACTTCATTTTCCTTATTGCAAATTGCCCAGTTGTTGGGGGAAGTGGGTTTATTGTGCAATATCTTCCAATCAACTATAATTGCACAACCTGAATTTGCCAGTGTGTGACTGAATCCGACCTGAAAATAGCAAAAATCTGGAAGCACCCTGAATCTTCCCCTCCCAAACTATGCTCTTGTGTGTGCAATATCACTCTGGACTGGACTCCTTTAAGCTTAACATTAAAAGGTTCTGTATTCAAAGAGGTAATCACATTTGTGCCTATGAGCTGCCTTGGACATCATCCCAAAACTTGTGCACCCTGCAACGTTTTCCAAAACACTTAGAAGCCCTTTGATGAGAAGGCAACAACTGTTTCCTACCATCCCATGTATTGGGAGGTTGTACAATCTTGCAGGGGCAGCTTTGAGGTGAGTGGAGTAGGAGACTTCTGAAGTATCTGAAAGCAGTAAGACCAGCCAGCAGCTTACAGAGTGACAATAGCTTGCAATCTTTCTTTTAAAAAAAAAAAATTGCATAAGATACTGCATAGGAGTGAAGTGGAATCTTTTCCCTTTAAAAGGTCAACTTCAAAACAAAAGGTGCTGGAAGATGTGGAGAGAAGATGCCACGTATGGAGTACAGACTCCCAGAGAACTGAAGAACAATGGGCTATATATAGAAGAGTCTGCCAGTCTAGATATAACTTGCACTCTCCTGAACCCTGGAATACTAAGACACTAGAAAAGGAAAGGAAATAAAGACTAGCTATCGGTATAGAATCTTAGGAAACGGCAGGCCATAATGCACAGAGAACACTCTGCAAGGTCTGTTTTAGCATCTCTTAAAGGGGACGCTTGGAGGAATTGTCCTCCCAGCTCTTAAGCCATTCAAGTGCAGCTGTCTCAGTGCAAACTATTTGTGGAACACTAACTTCGTGCTATCTTTTATATGTGACAGATTGTAATTATGCTAATGATATGCTTGCAGCGTATGGACCTAAAGGGGGGGAAATGGCAAGATCTGTATTTTAACATCACAATAGATTCAAAAGTGTGTCAAAATCTTTGGGGTTGTGTGTGCTGCATATTAATCACCTCATAAATTTATTCAGCATCCAACAATAGCCACTGACTGAGACCATCTCCTGGTTAATTAACTAACATGGAAGCTGTCTGAGGAAGCAAATGTCTGTCTCTTATCCATCATTCTTTTATAAATTTTTATCAGGACACGGTTCAACTCTTTGAGAACCAAAGGCATGTAATTTAATTCTAAAATTTAAAATGTGTAAACTGCTGCAATTACACACACACACACACACACACACACACACACATTAAAAAAAAACATTTTTCCAGAGTGCATCAGCCAAGAGTGCATTGTAGCAGAGGTGAGAAGCCTCAGGTCTTGGGGCCAAATAAGTCCCTTCTGGTCTCTCTGTCTGCCCCTTGGAATTCTCCACAGGCCACGCCCCTCACTGGTCCTGCTTTTCAACCTCCTTGTGTGTTTTTGCCTGGCTGGCATGTGTTCTTCAATTCTCATAAAGCCTCATGCTTTTCTGGATGGAGGAGAGAGAGGAGTGTGGTGTATGAGTGTGTGCAGAAAGCAGCCTGCTGTACAATCTCTGAATGCAGTTTCTCTTCGCGTTAATGGATAGGAAATGGTTTTAAAAAGGCATATATTGTTGGCATAGCAGTAGCTATACTGCTAATTTTCCAGAATAAAGGGGGGGGGGAGAGAAACCCTTTCCAATCATTGCCATCTTAGCAAAGTGGGGTTCTCCTCTCTGATGAAACACTTTCTGTCTACACTTCTAGCCTAAAAGAAATGCTAAACACTTCATTATTTGCAATTTTGTGGGTGATAATGGGCAAACACTTTTTTTTTTTAGTTTTTAGCATTAAATAAATAATTCTTTTTTTAAAAAAATGCTCAGAATTGTTCTTCTCAAATGGCTGCTCATGTGGACCTCTTCATTCCCCACACATAGCACCTATGTAATGCCCACCGGTTTGGACAGAACATATATAAGGATGAACGTACATAAGTAGTACAATATCCCCAATAGGTGCAAAAAAACCACAATTGCAATTCTGCTTGCAGCTTGTAGCAGAGGAGCAATGATTTATTAGCACTAGGAGCCGCCCATTGGGAAACAGCCTAGGAGAGACAATGAGCAGGGGGGGGGAGAGAGAGAGCATCTGGGCAGGAGCTCCATCACTGAGGAAGGATGGAGGACATTTGAAATAGGCAGCCACACCTTTGGTTATTGTCCTGTAGCAGGACAAAGCAGAGAACACTTATTTTCATGTCTTATCTGTAGGGAAGGCTTAACTTGTAAACTAGCCTCAAATGATTGGCCTTCAGATGGTATACTGATCTTGCTGCTTTCACAGTATGGGCAGCTAATTAGGAGAGCAATACCTATAACTCTCCAAAATGGGTCTAAAAATCTCCCACAGTGTATTTTCAAATATGGATTTTATTTTAATGTACACTAAATAACAGCAATAGAAACACAAGTATACATACACATATTGAATGTGTGCAACACAATGGCATGTGTGCAGTCATGCCACATGTTGGCAATGGGTCTCACATGTAAGGCAGATAGGTGGTGACTGGGCAAGAGAAAGAAGGGCAAGTGGAGAGAGAAAGACAGGTAGCCTTGATTGAGAATAGGCCTCAAAGACTGGGTGATAGAGAAACAGAAGGGAGAGTAGATGGGTGGGGGTTCACAAAGTGAACTGATTTAAATGCTTGATTTGGGGAAGTGTGGGAGAAGTGTGTGAGCATTGGAATGTACCATCCAAAACATCAGCTGCAGACCTTAGAGACCAAGAGCACAGAAAATGGGAATAAAATTAAATTTAGAAAACCCAAATAAGAACACCATGAAGGAACAGAGTCCCAAAGGAGAAATTGCAGATAAATGGGATGTCTAAAGTAATTTGTGCAAATTTGGATTAAGACTAGCATGCCGTCAACTCAGAAGATGAGTTGTATTGACATAACATTACGTGATTGTGCTGACAATGCTAAACCAAAAAACCATCAAACTGTAATTGTATATTTTTTTTGCCAGACAAGATTAAGTTTCTGTGTCACAAACTTGCATCTTAAAAAAGCAGATTTGAAAAGTGACTTGGGATTTACATAAAAGTCATTCAAATTCAATACTTTTAAGTTTTATCTTGCTTAGCTGACTTTCAGACATTAGTACAGCAACATGAATTAAGCTGATCTTTGACAGGAGCAAATACGATATCGCTCTCGCTGTTTACATTTGACTGTTATCTACTTGCATTACAGCTGTTGATTAAGGTGGTCGTGCAACCATCATCTGGAATAATATTTGGAAAATGACACTTTGGGAATAAATTTAATTTGTAAA